AAGCATTACCTAGCAACAACTAAAACATCGGTGTGTTATCAACATTGTACTCATCCTAAATCCAAACCACAGCACTGTACCAGCTACTAGGAAGGAAATTAACTCTGTCACAGCCGAAACCAGGACAGATGATTTTTCTATGTCTGTCTTTCTCATATCAATAATCCATTAATATTTATGTATATTACTGTTTATAATGTTTCTGAGACATAGATGAATGGTAAGATTAACCGAAATTACCTGATCTTCTTCCTCCTGACTTGCTTTCAGTGGTATCAGTGGTAGTGCTTGATCGATGTTTGATCTCTGTAGTTCATTATAAAAAAGAAATGTGAAGCATTCACTCCTCAAGCTTTTGAATCCTTTATCTGGTAGCAGAGAGATTAGAAGAAATGGAAAAAAGAGTGTTTTCCTGGCTAGAGGGATCTGCCTGGAATTTTTCTTTTCCAGTAATGTGCCAGTTCATAGATATCACAAGATTTTGTATGTTGCTACTTTGAACAGTGTTCGTGATACAGAACTTTTAAGTTATTGCATAGTGTTTGTGATTGCTCTTGTTCTAGCATGATATTCATTGAGATTCAGTAAGTTCAGTGGCTTACAAAAATGATGGCTATTTCAGTTAGCTGCTGAGAGTACTAAATTAATTAATGATCTGAAAGTCAAATTAGCTGTGGCAATGAATTCTCATTTTATTTCCAGGGGACTGTTCTTTAAGGTTATACTGAAGGAATCGATTTCATAGAGGGTAGTTCCTCTTAATAATTTTATTTTGTTTCTAAATGAAATTATTCTAAATTATTGTTTAATTCTGGTGTCTGTTCAAAGGTGTTGTAGAACAGTTTCACCATAAATGTTTACTTTTTGTATCTTTTCCCATTTAAGTAGCTATGTTAGTAATAGTTACTGTCATATACTTCTGCATTCATTCAAAGAACTTCAGAGCAATTCAGTGATTTGCAGCTTTCTTTGGATCTTAAGTGGTTGTATTTATTAAATATCTCTTGGAAACTGGATGAAACGAAAAACGTTTCTATAAGTGACAATCTTGATCAGCAAAATAAAGTATTGACATCAGCTGGAATTAACTGGCAAACTTTCTTAAATCTATTTAGATTAAATACTGTTAGTATTCTTTTACTAGCAATGAAGCTATTAAAGGAAAAAATTTATCATGGAAATTTTGTGTTTGTTAGAAGTAACTAAATCCATTGTCCCAGCATACATAATAGTCACCTGATGGAAGGGTATGTTACGGGGTTTTTAACCTGTTTACAGAACAAGAAGTCTTCATAACATATATGACACGTTGTTTTTAAAATAGAGATTTGATCAATGTAGATCAGAATGAAAACTTAGCTACACTATATCCAGTAATTATAACTA